GAGTGAAAATCGATAAAGTTGTTGTATGTTCGGGATGTCAGTATGAGAAGGCCCACTAACAACCTTTTTCAACCTCAAATTTTCATGCAAAAGAGCATTTACCACTTATGCATTCCGGTATGTTTGGACAGGTAAAACATTCATCAGTAAACGATAAAAGATTTATGGTGACTTTTATTGATGATTATTCTCTCTTTGTATGGATTTATTTTTTGAAAGAGAAGTTTGAGGCTTTTTAGAAGTTTAAGGAGTTCGATTTGGATGCCAAACTTATAACGGGCCAAAAAGTCAAGTTTTTACGCTCGGATAATGGTGGAGAGTATCTGGAATATGAGTTCAGTAATTACTTGAAACAAAAGGCATAAAAGAAAACTTACATGGTCGAATACCCCGCAACAAAATGCAGTATCTGAACGTAAGAACCCACAACTGGGTGAGGTCGCAAGGAGTATGGTACATGCGATAAATCTGCCAAGACGCTTTTAGGTAGAAGCCATGAACACTGTTGGGTGCGGTATAAATCATTTGCCTTCTTCGTCTCTTGGTTATAAATCACCGTATGAGATGTTAACCGGAATAAACAAAACATACGTTATTTTCGCGTTTTTGGTTGTGTGTGCTATGTATCTGTTTCAATCTATCTGTGTCACAAGATGGACAAGAAAGCTATACGGTGTGTTTTTGTAGGATATGATTATGAAAAGAAATTATATAGGTGTATTGAGCCTGGTATAGGAAAAGCTTACATATCTAGGAACATGGTATTTGATGAACAATCCTCTTGGTGGTCAGATGATAATCAAGTCTTACCTGACATAGTTGAGATAAAAAAAGGGCTTGGACAATCAAAAGTAAACCTGATATTTGATGGAAAGGAGTCTAGCAATGTTAAATCTGATCAAGTAGCTCACAACCATGCAGAAGATGAGCAGCAAGAACAAGGTTTGAGACGGCCATAAAGATTCACATACCAAATCCAAGGTATGCAGAATTTGCTCATGTGATAGAAGATGTAGTTGATTCGTGTTCCTTCAAAGAAGTTGAAAAAAAAAAAGAAAAGAGTAGATCTGTGAAGTTCAAGAATAGGTGGAAGCATGGTCAGAGAATCTTAGAAAACATATTTTTTTTTCTCAAGTACATCATTGTCCAATTCCTCACTATTATCTATCTCTTCAATTTTTTTCTCTTCTCCACCTTCCGGGCATAACTTGTTAAGAAACTCATCGTCCTTAGTCTTGTTTAGCGGGGTACAATATTCCCCATTGATTTCATCTTCCAAACCAGCATCGAACATATAGGTCGGTTCAGGATCGTGGATTCCTTGTGCAGTTTCTTTGTCATCCCCCTGCATCACTTAACCACTTTCATCACTTTCTTCATCGAACCGGCCCTTAAATCCTTCCCCAATATGATCTAAATACAGGTCTATTGGCCCTTCAGGTGATTGATAGCAACATCAATAGACACTTGTAATCTATTTTGTTAGTTATTATCCTAAGACCATTTGCCATAATGAGATCATGTGTTGAGTAACAAAGTTTCTCAAAAGGTTCTCCAAAAAACCTTTCTAGAAATTCATGACACCCATGGAAATTCATTCCAAAGAAATCATGGTCAGTAGACATTAACATTTCACCTCCAGTATATTTATGTGGGTGTCTTGTATAAACACTGTTATAGTGTAAATGCACTTTCAAGAAAATAGGGTTTGGGTTCGCCATGAACTTTAACTAAAAAAGAACCGGATGAACTTTAACTACAAAAGAACCATATGAACTTTAACTATAAAAGAGCCCTAGACGAGAGAAAACTTATAGAAATGGGAGAGAAAAGCCCTAGAATCTTGAACACTTCAACACGATTTTGATAACCGATTGGAGTAAAGCCATTTTTTGAATAGTTGTACGAAGGCGTTGACATGTCATTGATAAGATGTCATTTAATTGAAGAAATCTAAAATCTAAAGGTCACATCACATTTACTTTCCAGGTAACCTGCTTTAATGGTATAAACAACAAGTAATTTGTCACTTTAATGAGGTAAGAGGTACAGAAATTAGTTGAAGGACCTTTTAAAACCAAACAGAAAACATCATTGTGCTTATATATTAACAACCCTTTTTTACATCTCTACAAGAAAGTTGCATTTGCAAAATAATAAATAAAATAAATTATAAAGTCTAGATATGCAATAATTGATTGCATAAACATTAAACCACATTGATCATAGATGATACTAAACAAACAAACTAGTGGTGGTAAATGCCAAGGTGCAAGTGCTAGTGACGACTGCAGTGGTGGTGGTAATGGCGATGTTAATGGTGGTAGAAGTATCATAAATTATTTATTTATTTTTATTTTTTTCTGGAAGAATATGTCACTCAAACATATACGTGTATAGCATTCTAAAAGATAAACGGTCTTTTATTTTAATATGTGTCCAACCGAAAATATAAGATGACAAGGCGGGTCTTTTTCTAACCAAACAAATAGCACCTATGTTAATATTTTGAAATTTCCAATCAATTATCTTTAACAAATAAGTATCAAGATGACAAGCGGTGTTTGGTTTGCATTGTATAAACTTTTCTTAAAAGCAAATGAATTTTGTGAAAGAATTGAAATATAAGAGAATTGTGAAACAATGATTCTTAAATTTTCATTTATAAATCAACATACCATAAAGTGGAATGTTAAAGTTTTATTTCATAGGATTTTATAAGCGTACTATTTTAAAATAACACCATCACATGTATTCTTCAATAAAGTTAATTAAAATGCAATGACGATTACATACTTTATTTCAACTTAATACAGTTCATATAACAACATTACATGGTGAATTATACAGAAATCAAACGATTTTAGTCTTTACCAAGATAAAGATTATGTTTAATTTTACACCTTGGACTTCAGTCTTTCCCAGATTCTTTCACCATCTGTTCTCGAATTCTTTTCTGGGCTTCAAAGAGAAACTCATGAACTTCATCAAAATGAGGCGCAGTTGCTTTCTTTGTATCTTCCATCCACTCAACAACTTTCTTGTAAGGGCTTAATATCCGATTACAATCCGTCTCACTCAGAAGCTAAACATATATGTATATGTTTTTTAATTAAGAATTAGCCAAAAGGATGAATGTAATGAAATACTACTACTTTGATTTAATATGGTTGGTTACCTGAAGTTGCATGATTTCACATACTAAACTTAGATCTGCTATTGATGGTTGAGAGCTTCCAACCAAAAAGGTTCCATCATTTAGCCAAAAGTTTTCTAATTTAGACAACGATTTCATGAGTAACTTCTCGGATTCCTTGGCTGTTTCAAGATTTGAAGGGAGGCCAAACAATGGTGCCAAGATAGTGTTGAAAACAAGTCCAACTGAAAAAGAATGATATGATAAGATCATTGTCCAACAAATCTATTGTTTTTTTTTTTTAAAGAAAAAAAAAAAGTACATATAATTATCACCTGTCCCACGGCGTAAATTTGAATGATGCCAATCCAAAACAGAATGGATTTTAGCTCTTATGGTTAAATCAGCAGGATACCTATACATCTAATAAGTTAATATCTTCATATATACAGTTTAGAATTTGTATGAAGATATGGAACTGGCTCACCAATGACTAGCTACTTCAGGAAATGCACAAGATAAGTAGATAAGAATAGCATGACTGAAAACCACAACATTTAATTTTGAGTTTATTTATGAATCCAAATCGAATAAGGACTTTCAAATCATAAGCAGAAACAACCTTTCAAACAGCTTGAAACCTCCATTAACTATTGCTGGAACTTGACACATTGGATTTATTGCTGCATAAATTTTAATGTATTTACATTCTTTTAGTAATAGAGTAAAATACACGAATGGTCCCTATGATTTGGGGTAATTTGCACGCTTGGTCCCTAAATTATTATTTTTAATTCGGAAGGTCTCTACTGTTTGTTTTTGTTACATGTTTGGTCCTTGTCTTACCTAAAAAGACTAATATTTAAATAGGAAAAAATGGTGGGGTATGTAAGGTAAAGCGAGGGGGTAGGGTTGGGGTTGAGGGTGTGTTTATTTAAATAAGTTATAAAATTGAGGGCAAAATAATATTTTTAGGTAAGATACTGATCAAGCGCATAACAAAAACAAACAGGAAGGACCTTTCTTGTTAAAAAAATAAGTTAGAGACCAAATTCATAAATTACCCAAAACTATAGGTACCATTTGTGTAATTTACTCTTAATAATCATATCAATATATAACCTTATATTTTGCTAAATGGTAGATGAATACTTTTTTAATTAAATATGCAGGATTTGATACCAAATAGAAACAAACCTTTGTATTCAGGGGTGAATTGCTCGTTCCTCAAGACATCTACTCGGATTTCCTCAAAATCTATCCCATTTTTTCTTCGTAAAAAGCCATAATAAGAATGATGAATTTAGACAAGCATAATCAGATAGAAAATAACTTGTGCATAAAAAGAAACACAAAACACAACCCAAATAGGATTACGTATCAATTTAACAATAAACCAACTCAATTTGCACACAGATTGATTAATAGAAAAGGGGCTTATCCTTTGAAGGACAAATTTCAATTCAACAACCAGAGAATCCGATTAAAGATCACAGTAAGCCTTTGCAATCAAGTAATCGCTTCAATACTTGCAGTCGATCACAAAAGTGGTTGGTATTTATAATTTATTTACAATCCGATCAAAGAGAAGGAATTTGTAAGTGATTTACTAAATAATGGAAGCGAGGAAGAAGATGATAAACATACTTGCAGAAGATGAGAACTGCTCGAGATGGTTGGGACATCCGATCAGCATATACCTTCAGCGCCATGTTTTTCGAGCACAAACTGAATCTTCGGAGTTGCAAAAAATTTCAACTCTAATAAACAATATTTCACCTCTTTATGATCAACAACGCAATCGTCAGCATGAGTTTAAATTAGTATTTAATGCTCCACACCACTTGTACGATACTAATAATATATTCTCTTAAACGTCATCTTAATATACACTTGACATAAAAATTTCTAAACCTAAAATAGAATCACTTTTTTTTATTATTATCAACATCATCATATGTATTCTTCAATACTTTATGAAATCCAGGTAATTAAAATGTAATGATGATTACATAATCTCATAATGGTTTATTTCGGCTTAATACATATCATATAGCACATTACGTGGTGAATTATACAGAAATCAAACGACTTCAGCCTTTTTACTAAGATAAGATGATTGCTTTTACAACTTGGACTTAAATTCGTATTTCCCAGAAGATTCTTTTGATATCTGCTCTCGAATTCTCTTCTGGGCTTCAAAGAGAAACTCATGAACTTCATCAAAATGAGGTGCAGTCGCTTTCTTTGTATCTTCCATCCACTGAACAACTTTTTTGTAAGGACTTAATATCCGATGACACTCCTCCTCGCTCAGAAGCTAAAAACATGAAGAAAAAAAAAATTATGTTTTTAGTTAAGAATTAGCCAAAAAGATGAATGTGATGAAATATTTTGATTACCTCAAGTTGAATGATTTCACAAACTAAACTGAGATCTGCTATTGAAGGCTGAGAGCTTCCAACCAAAAATCTTCCATCTTTTAGCCAAAAGGTTTCCAATTTAGTCAACGATTTCATGAGTATCTTCTCGGCTTGTTTGGCTGCTTGAGGGCTTGAGGGGATGCCATTTAGTGGGGCCAGGATAGTGTTGAAAACAACTCCAGCTGAAAGTACATATAAAAAACCAAACATATGTTTTTGTTAATACCCCAAAACCAATCAAACTTGTGGTTTAAAATCCAATCATTGAATTTAAAGGGAAAAAAAAAACTAGATATCACCTGCACCACGGCGTAGGTTTGAATGATGCCAGTCTAAAACAGAGTGGATTTTAGCTCTTTTGGATACATCACCAGGATACCTATGGATGTGATTAAGCTTTTATATATAAATGTGATAAATCCATGGAGTTTATTGGAGTTTGGGATTTGTATGCCTCTAAGAGATTTTGTCATATTCAAGGAGAGAAGAAAACCAGACTCTTACCAATGACTAGAAACTCCGGGAAATGAACAAGACAAGTAGATAAGAATCGCGTGACTATAAATAACAACAAATTCACGTTATGAAAACCGAGAATTTATATTGTGCGATAAACTGAAATTTCTTTAAAAATGAGACAAAAAAACCTCTCAAACAGCTTAAAGCGTCCGTCAACTATTGCTGGAACCTGAGACATGGGATTTATTGCTGCGTAAAACATATAAGACACAACAATCCTTTATCTTCAAATTCATATAGCATGTTGTTACATGTCTATAATGTTGAATAAACTGTTGAACTTTATCTTTTTGAAAAAATGAAAACTTTGCCCTTATTAGATGTGTACGTGTACAGCAGAGAGAATTGTGATTAACCAAATATGTAAAATTTTATACAAAATCAGAAACAAACCTTTATATTCAGGGGAGAATTGCTCATTCCTCAAGACATCTACTCGGATTTCCTCAAAATCTATCCCATTTATCCTTCAAATAACATCCAAATAAGCCATAAGAAACACAAATTTAGGCAAGCACAATCAAATAGATTATAACTTGTGCATAAAAAGAAACCCAGCCCTAATAGGATTAATAAGCCCAATTGAATTCACCCATGAAACAGCATATACATACACATCAATTTACGAAACTCAAGTATCATTGCAAGAAATTGCTGTAGGCCAGAAGCTAATGAAGGAAAGACAAGTAGAACATATAACAGTAATAACAGAAAACCAACTCAATTTGCACAGATTAGTAGAAAAGGGGCTTATCGTTGTAGAAATGTTACCGACTAATTTCAATTCAACAGCCAGAGAACCCAATTTAAAGATCATGGTAAGCCTGAGCAACCAAGTAATCGCAACAATACTTGTACTCGGGTCACAGGTCAATAATCAAACCCTTGGTATTTATTTACTACGGATATCGAAACGAGGAAGAAGATAACATACTTGCAGAAGATGAGAACTGCACGAGATGGTTGGGACATTCGATCAGCAAATACCTTCAACGCCATGCTTTTCGAGCACAGACTGAATCTTGGGAGTTCTAAAGTCCACCAACAAAAAATTTCAACTCTTTATGATTAACAACGCAGTCGTCGCTCAACATCCTGTTTGTTTGCGGAAGAAACTTGGGTTTTTGAAGCACATCTATTTGGTCAATTTTACATTTAGTCACTTAAGTTTTTTTTATGCTCAATTGATTCATGTTAGTAATTCCCAGCTAATTAAAGGAATGTGAGCAAATATTACCGGTTTAAGGGTCATCGCTGACTTGTATTGGCTTATGTGAACAAGCATTTGACCATGTCATTTGTAAGGTGGAAACCTTCCTTAATTGAATCTTATATTGAACCATCGAAGATACATTATGACCCCAAATTTGGTCAGTGTCTCCCTTCCGAAACTCTACACTCAATCGATATAACCAGAACAATGTCGGCCTCTTCCAGTCGATCAATCAAGCTCATGCGTGTCGGAAACCTTCGTGATGATGATCCCTGTCCACCTTGCGATTGTCAAGACGCAATAAGCGTGGAAAGGACTGTCTGGACTGACGATAATGTAGCTCGCAGGTTTTGGAACTGCAAAAACTCTTTGGTGAGTATTCATTTTATTTACTTACACCGTATTTGTTATTTTGAGCTGGAAATGTACACATTTTCATTATTTGCAACCCTAACCCTAACTCTGGTTTTCCCTTTTAATCAGTCAGTTGAAGGTCCGAAATGCAAGTTCTTTATGTGGAAAGACAAAGAAATGGAGGAGGGTTACTACAAAGAACAGCTTCGCAAGATGAGATTTGAGCTGAAAAGGAAAGAAGAGTTTAGTGAAGTTTCGAATGTTCAAAAGAAGTTGGTTAAGCTGCAGCAAGCTATGGAAGCAGATAAGCAATTGTTTGAGACACAGTTGATGGAGTTGACGGAGCAAAACAGAATGTTGAAGTGTGGGATCTTTGTTATGGCAATTGTAGTCATTGTCATGTGGTTGAAATGGACTTGAATTGTGCAGCAGATCAAATAGGTGCTTATGGTTGATGGTATATAATTCCAACCAATTTTTTGGAAAGTGTATGGGTGGATGTTAAAAAGCTATTAGCTTTTTTGGGAAGTGTATGGGTGTATGGGTACATGGTCAAGGTTAGATCCTAGTTGTAATGTATAGTCAGGTTTTTGGTTGAATGCTTGTTTGATCAGTGTGTGTGTGTGTATGGGATGTTAGATGTAATAGAATGTAGATGTAATGGGATGGCAGTACATGGGAACAATTGTAATGACTTTGTGTTGATTCAATGAATGACATGAAATATCCTAGTTAAGATATACCTTGCTGAATTTTATAATATGCATGTGCTCCTTTTATAAATTAAAGTGTGGGTACCACATTGTCGGCCATAAGGAACTCACTTGGTCCATTTAAAAGTGGATTGTCTTTAGAGTTCTGTGCAGGGGTATATATGGAAAAGTAAGGGTATATGGACCACTGACCACACGTGGTATATAAGGACATAATCAATCATAATTTTAAATTATCTATATATGCAAATATATTCCCTTGCCATGCAGTTTAACCAGACAAGTCCTTGCCATGCATATCAAATAACACAACAAAAAGCTCAAAATAACAATCAACTTAAGTAACACAAAATACACATCACAACATAGTTTCATACAAACTAGCATAGTTAATAGCAGTTTCATAAAAACAACAACAATACACCAAAACACATCATTTAACACTACATACCATGTTCATATCACATAAACCAACACTAAAAGTTATTCTAGAGTAACAGGTTTAGCTTCTGAATTCCCAGGTGCATCTGCACCACCAACTTTCTTGCCCAGTTTCAAATTGATTATCCTTTCAGATTTCTTCCTCCTGGTTTTCTTCAACAGGGTTGCAAGTGGTGTTTCTCTAGCCTCCTGTTCTTGCTCATGAACCTGACTAGGTTCTCCAATAGCTGATGCATCAAACTCCAAAGGAGTGAGTTCCACCTCATCATAGTCTTGTTGCACATGCACCTCATTGACTGCTTCTCCACCATCATGTACTGCTCCTCCATCATTGACTGCATTAGATTGATTACCTTCATCATCCTCATTGAGAGCTTCAGCTACACCCTGATTGACCAATATGAAACATTATTAGAAATTTAAAAAGAAATTGTAAAGATTACCCATTTAAATACTTATGTACCTGTTTTGTTTTTCTTTTAGCTTTGGTTTTAGGAGGCCTTGTTAAAGTACAAGCTCTTTTGTTGTGTCCTTCAATCTTACAAAGGCTACATTTTTGTTTTTTTCCCAGCCTTGGATACCTTCACCTGCTCCTTACCTTTGTTTTATGTTTGGGTAGTTGTCTTTGATTTTTTACTTGACTGGTTTGGGGTTTCTGTTGCATCCCTTTTCCTTTTAGTTAAAGGTCTCCCAGGCATAGCTCTACGACCAGGAGGTAAAGGTGGGGTGTAATCAGTTGCAGGCCACAAATTACTTCCATTCATAGGTGTCTGGTGAGCATATAGGGTTTTCAACCCACAACAAATAATTATATTTAATTTCACCAACCAACAATAACCCGATTACTCATTCCCGTTATCCTCACTTTACGTCCCTAAAACAACATCTATTACCAGGGACCTAATCTAGGATTTTCATCAGAATGGACATTACTGCAAAGGGGTTTCCTTAATAATAGATTTTCTGAAGGCGACTATGAGGGGGATAAAGTACATTGGTGAACACATCGTTCACAACACCTACAGGTTCAGTGTTTCAATTCAGGCAGTTCAGTGTTTTAGGCAGTTCAGTGTCTCAGGCAGTTCAGTGTTGCAGACAGTTCAGTGTTTCGGATAGTTTCAGTGTTATGGGAAGTATTAGTATTTGTGTTGGAATGCAAGTCTTAACGGTATAGTTGGTTGATGTGGGAATGGCAAGTCCCTCTCAGCAGGTTCAGTTGAGTCTTCAGCCAAGTATAAGTAATCTGCAAGGATAATTAGGTAGGTAGCCTTTCTTTCAGGAATCAGGATGGAAGACTCAAGTTATTGGAAGTTGAGTAGTCAGATGAGACATAAGCAGGTTGGTTCCAGCAGCATCGATTCAGTATGAGTGGCAGAGAGGATAGAATAGTTATAGATAGTTGAAGTATCTTTAGAAGTCCCTGGAAGCGACCAGGAGATTGCGAGGGGGTGTAGTGACCGGTTTGGGTCCGGTAACCCATATATCGGCAGATTAGTTGGACCAGGGTGGTCTCAGTGCATCCGCTAGGCGGGTGAGGGGCAACAGAATTTTCAGTCAGAGGTAGTAACATTAAGGGAAGTATGGTATGAGGTAGCAAGTTGGCAGAGGGTGCTACGCCTCTCACAGAAGGGTTGGATAATCTCAGAGGGGAGGGCTTGACCTTGTTGCGCAGCTCTTGTATGAGCCTTAACCGTTGCATTGATGAACCTTTCACTCGAAGGATTATCTGATCCATTCGCTGGGATGGGTGCTCAGCACTAAGTTATGGAAATAAGAAGCATTCAATATGTACCAGCAGTAGTGACCAGCACTGAGAGTGGCTGGAGCGATGGACATCGTGAAGGGTATGATCTTCATAGTGACAAAGGAGGTGAATAACTATAGAAGGCAGCCTTGGGAGGCCAGAGAACGCATGAGGAAAAGAGAGTAAACCCCAAGAATGTTTAGCCTAAGTACTCGGGGAGTACCAAAAGGATTGCCAGTTGAGCAGAAAGTTTTCTCAGGAAGGTTGATGATTAGATTGTACTCGGGGATTTATCTGCAAGGATTACGCCATCCAGGATGACCGCGCAGAAGGTCAATAGAGTTAGAGTCACCAAGCAGGGAATTGGAGGCGGATGGCAGGTCAGTTGGCCATAGTGAACTTCGAGGAAGAAGTTCTGTTTAAGTGGGGGAGAGTTGTAACACCCGAAATCAGAAAGACCAAGAAAGGAAAGGAAAACCATAAGTTAAAGGGTCGACTCGTCGAGTCCAGGGAGGAACGCGACGAGTCAAAGCGGGATCCAGGTGTAGAATAAGTGACCGACTCGGCGAGTCAGCGAGTGGACTCGACGAGTTTGGTCTGAACGAGAAAAACCCTAATCCGGGGGCTTGCACCCTATTTAAGGAACATTACACCCATTCCCCAGCCTCTTTACTCCTCTTTGAGATCCAGAAGCCCTAGAATCGTGAGTGAGGGCCTTTGGAAGCAAATTGGGGCATTGTTAAGTGTTTTGTGAAGAAATCTTGAAGATCAAGAAGCTTGGACAAAGGAGGTTCGTTGAGATTCGGATTCCTTTTCAGTAGGAGGACGTTTTGGTGGTAATGAATCGTTGTCCTTGGCTTTCCCATTTCTAGATCCATCTTTCTTGGAGTTTAGGGTTTCTTTGAGAGTATGTGATGAGAAATTGGTGCACAAGTTAGATTTGGAGTTGAAACTCCAGATCAGAGCTCTATTTGGATCATAGATGCAGAAAGCCCTGTTAGTTGCTATTCAAAAGCCATTCCCCATGAGTTAAGTTCCTTTCTAGATTGGTTTTTGGCATTACGGGACAAGAAGCACGTAAAGGTAGCAACTTTATTGTAACAGCCGGATTTTTCAGGTATCTTGTATATTTATGTTTTTGGTGATTTGAGAGGGGACTCGGCGAGTTGGAGCTCAGACTCGCCAAGTAGGGACACGGATCTGGTCGCGGGATCGCGCCTGGACTCGGCGAGTCCAGGATATGGACTCGGCGAGTCAGCGCTGTGTAATGAAACCCTAATTTCTCGGGTTTGAGACCTATTTAAAGGGCCTAATGGCCCTCATTTGTGCTCACCAGTCCCTTGAGTGAAACCCTAATCGAGTGTGAGCATTTGGAGCAAAGTAGAAGGCCATTATTGATCTTGGAGGTTTCATTGTTGCAAGGAAGGAGAAGAACTAACCAAGGGAAAGCAAGTGGAGCCACTTCTGAAGGTTTGGAGTCCAGAGCATCACTATTGTGGTAATAATTTCGAGTTATCTTCTTCCTTGTTGATGTTTATCTAGATTTAGGGTTTGTTGAACCCTTTTGTGGCAAGATCTAGTGCCCCTTTGGTCCCTCATGAGGTTTGAACCATAAATCTGGACCCTTAGAGGTCCAAAGTGTCCCTTCACCCAAGCTTTTTGTGAATCAATGGAGGCTTTGGATTGGAATCCTTATGCCTTAGGTCAAAACTCCATTTATGAGCCATGGGGTGTGTTATGGGCACCAAGATAGAAGCTTTACGTGATGAATCAGACTAGGGAGGCCAGATCTATAGATTGTGGAAGCAGATCTGACCTTAGAAGCGAGTTGGAGTGGTTGCATGGCATGGACTCGCCGAGTCTGTTCATCAGACTCGGCGAGTAGTTTGAAAATTGCCTTGGGATTGCTCAGTGAGTGGTCCAATCGAGTCATGGGTGGACTCAGTGAGTCAAGGTGAGTTGGAGAGGGACGACAAGTGGACTGAGTCGTACTGGGACTCGCGGAGTTGTTCTTGAGACTCGGCGAGTTGAGTCGGGGTGGCCCCGCGATTCTTCCAGGTGAAACTCGTCGAGTAAGGGGGGAATACTCGACGTGTAGGAAGGGAATTTCAGAGGGTTGGTGAAAACGTCTAGACTCGCCAAGTGGCCGTAGCACTCGCCGAGTCCGGTCAAAGTTGACCGTTGACCGTTGACCAAAAGTTGACCTGTGTTGACTTCTTGGGTATAGTCAACCTTAGAAGATATAAAGTGTTAACTAGAGGCATACGTTGTTATAGGAGGAGTAGAGCTCGGAGGATCGAGCACGAGGGATATTCAGGATTCGTGAGATACCGAGATACGCGAGGCGAGTCTTCTCACTATACCTTACCTTGAGTGGGTAACCAGAGTTATGTGATAGAGTATTTGTATGCTATGTGTGTTATGTGTTGTACTGCATTAATTCTATGTGATTTATGTGGTGCATGTTTATCAGAGTTAGAACCTGATGGTTCACAGAGTTTGGGTGCACAGACCCACAGAGTTATAGCCTCGAGTGGCTATTATGTGTTAAATGTGGTATTTTGGGGAACTCACTAAGCTTTGTGCTTACAGTGTTTGATGTTATTGTTTCAGGTACTAGTGACGAACGCGGGAAGGCGCCGGCTTGATCCGTACACACACACTCGGAGTTTTTATATTGTGATCTTGGGATTTTGTATTGACCTAAATTGGATAATTAATATGGTTGTTTGATGATTATTAATTGAATTATGTTTTATAAAAATTTGAAAATTTTGTTTTGAAATTTACAGTGTTACAATTTGGTATCAGAGCCTTGGTTTGAGGGATTCGGGTACACCTTCGGGAGTATTTGAACTCAAACTGAGGAATTGGAAGGATATTTTCAAAAGAAAACCTAACTTTTCTAAGAGTAAAAGATTTTCTTGAAAAAGAAACAAATTCCAGGAAGAAACGTGTGTACGATCAGTCAGCGCCCGAACGGTGAATTCCCAAAATACTTTTATATTATGTAATATTGATATTGATATGATGTATCTGTTGGATTAGTGTCTAAGTCCATAACTATTTTGGTATGTACTTGACCCGATGGTGCATGGTCCTTTTGGGTTGCCTTCACCAAAGCAACTTGATAGGATGAATTATGGAGAGTAAGGATTAAATATGATTTATTAATATATTATGGGAATAATATATTAAAGGAGAAATCATATTGTTTAATTAATATTAGTCAATAATTAATTGGTAATTAGTTTTGTGACTAAAAGAGATTAATTAAACTTAAGGGACTGGAATTGTAATTATAAGATAATTGCAATTTGGGCCATGGATTGCCTTGTATTAAGGGATGGACGAATTCTAATGGGAAACCCATAAGGAAATCGTCCATGGGCTTAATTAAAGGAGCCTATGGGTTGCTTAGGGCTTAAGCATCCAAATTAGGGTTTCCTTGTTAGATAACCCTAATAGCCCAACTATATAAAGACCCCTTAAGGCTCAAAAACGTGGCCAATGTTCTTGTAAGGGTTTACACACGTTTTTGGCAGCCTCCAACCTCTCTCCTCTTCATCCTCTTGCTTATGGTGTTTGTGAACCATTAGAGGAGTGACACTTGTGACTCTAAGCATTCCAAAGTCAATCCAAGGTGGAGTTGTGATTGTTATTGCTATATAACAATCAAGGTATGTTCTTAAACCTAATTATATGTTAATGTCGATTTCCATATGTTAGAATTAGGGTTTATAGTCTTGGATTCAAAGCATGTACAATAGAGAAACCTAGATCCAAGCATTAGGGTTTGTATGAGCACATAGGATGTCTTATGACCAAAACCCAACAGTATCTGCATGCTAGAGTGGGCTAGGTATTGCTAATAGGACTAGAGTGGCCGGATTTGTGATGCCTTAGCCTAGGGAGAAGTGAGCTGCTATGAGATGCTTGAGAGTGAGTAGGTAGCTGCGAGGGGCTTATGAGAGATCTATTAGAGAGTGGTCTACGCATGATAGAGTACTTGGGATTTGG